CCCTGGTGCCAGGGTCCCCTCCCTGGTGCGAGGGATAGTGAACGTGCAAGTTTCTCCCCCACCCACTTGCTTGTCACGTACATTCTGAACCAGCAGGTCCACACACAGAGACTCAGACACAGTTCAGAATCCGAGCTTTCCGTGAGTCTGCATTCTACTTGGAACTGAGAGCTATCACCCATAATATCACCTGCAGGCCTGCACAGTATCTCAAGCCTGGAATCCCAGTACTTTGGGAGGCTGAGGCGGGAGGATCGCTTGAGCCCAGGAGTTCCATATCAGCTGGGCCACAAAATGACACCTCGTCTCTACAAAAACCTCAAAAAATTGGTTGGGGATGGTGGCACACACCTGTAGTTCCAGCTACTCAGAGGGCTGAGGCAGAAGGATCGCCTGAGCCCAGGAGGTCAAGGGTGCGGTGTGTGTGTGTGTGCCACTGCATGTCAGTGTGGGTGACTGAGTGAGACCCTCACTCAAACACACACACACACACACACACGCACACACACACACACACGCACACATACACACACACACAATCTGCAGTGCATGTTACAATTGACAAAGTTCTCTCCATATAGTACTTTTCATATCTGCATTTGATGCTCTGATCCCTCATGCCTAACCGAAATGGGGTCAGGATTCCATTGTTTTATAGTAAATTGCCAGATATGTTGTCTTTGCAATAAATTATCTAATTTTAGAATGCTAAACATGTGCTATAATTTTCCTTTTTTTTTTTTTTTTTGAGTTGGAGTCTCACTTGGTTGACCAGGCTAAAGTCACATGCTTACAGACACCACATCCTCTACCTCCTGGGTTCAGGTGATCCTTCTGTCTCAGCCTTCCAAGTACCTGGAACTATAGGCACATGCCACCATGCCTGGCTACTTTTTTTGATTTTTTGGAGAGATGAGGGCTCGCCAAGTTGCCCAGGCTGGTCTCGAACCTGTGGGCTCAGGCAAACCTCTCACCTCCGCCTCCCAAAGTGTTGGGACTATAGGTGTGAGCCCCTGTGCCCAGTCTGATTTTACATTTTTACATATCCTTGTATAGTATGATTTGGAGGGTTGCCAGTCTGAACATTTCACTGCTGTTAGTTAATACTCAAACAAGGGCCATAGCCGGGTCTCTAAAACTGCCCCAATCTTTATACCACTGGTTTTATTGTCAGATGCATTCAGAGTCCTTCTCAGCTTAAACTGAAGCTTAACCTTGAATCTACTGCTTTCCTATACAAAACCTTGAATCTACCACTTTACTCTCTTGGGGCTCAGGCGATCCTCCGACCTCAGCCTCCTGAGTAGCTGGGACTACAGGCGTGTGCCAGTACTCTAGACTAATATTTTGATTTTTTGTAGAGACCAGTTCTCACTATGTTTCCCAGGCTGGTCTCAAACTCCTGGGCTAAAGCAATCCTCCTGCCTTGGCCTCTCAGTGCTGGGATTACAGGCATGAGCCACTGTGCCTGCCCTAGATTCTTTTTTTTTTTTTGGAGTTGGAGTTGGAGTCTCACTCAGTTGCCCAGACTGGAGTGCAGTGGCCGCTCCCGGCCACC